GTTTGTCTTATGACGACTCGCGAATCCTGCGAGACATTTGCAATCGCTCGACAATATTGCTATATTACACATGTATAGTGACGCAGTCAGTTGTTGAGCTTTCCTAACCACCTTGAAGGGGACGGCAGAAGTTTGGTTTCACCAATTGCCAGTCGGATCTGTCCATAGCTTTGAGAGGTTCAACTCTATATTTTTAAACCAGTTTACGAGTGCCAAGAAGCATGAGAAGTACCTTTCACTGATAAATATGCAGCAGAAAGAAGGTGAAACTTTACCTTAATATGTGGCAATGTAAACTAAGGAATGTGTGGAGGTCCCTTCAGCCTCAGAAGAGATTAAGGCTGAAGGCCTCACACGAGGCTTGAGACGTGAAAAGTGCAGGGACTCAATGGCGAAGAGGCCGACGAGGTCTTTTGACGAGCTCCTAGAGAGGTGCAGCAAGTACGTTAACATGGAGGAAGTATAGGGTGATTTTTTCCAAAAAGACATAACAAAGGTCAAGCAGGGAGAGGAAAGGCCCGACAGGGAAATCGGCGTGCACAAACAAAAGAATCCAGAACTGAGGAACAATTCAGAGGACCGAGATATGAACATTATTGTAACGCCCCGTCTTTTTATAAGGAAAAATCCCGAGTTTTCAAAAAATCAGAGTAAATTTTTCAAATTTATTTTTTTCTTTTCGAAAACTATTTAACGGGCGCTACTCGATTTAATCATTTAATCATCATATAGCTCAAGCAATATCTGAGCCTATAGGAACTCTCTTCCCAATTTCCATCATATACACATGAGATAAACATCAAGTCATAATCATAATCTCGCATTAATAAATATTCCAATGTCATAACATCATCATGTTCAAACCTCAATCCAGGTTTATCATAAATTCAGCGAATACAATTCTCATATCATAATATAATAGCAAGTAAAATGACTCAGTTTCATAGTTCAATTCAAATCTCAAAAAAATGTATCAGGCTAACATTATAATGAAAATGATAATAATAAAGCGGAACCATGAATAATTCAGTACATAGGCAATAATGAGCCCATTTGCTCGTCTTTCGCCTCTGCCACCAGCTCANACATTGGGGTGAGCAAACCACTATCTCACCACTATGCACATAAAGTTGAAAATAGCATGTTTGAGAAGATGAAGACTTATAAATTTCGTATACCTATGCCAAATGCCACATCTCACGAGTTTGAATTTATGAGCAAATGGACGATATGCCGATAGGAAAAAATCTAGAAGTTGTGGAGGGAGAGAGAGCACTTCACTGAGAATGTCTGGAGAGTTAGCCATCGTCCGCAAACGCTGAGGAAAAGGAGAACATAGAAGCCTCAACCTTGAGATTTTAGTACCCTTTGGGTAAATTTTACCCATTTAAGTAGTGAGACACTCGGCTTGTATCGGGAAAAAGTTAGATTCGAGTCGTAGTGCGCCGAGTTAGCTCAGCACCGCAGTATAGTGAAGCTACTAGCATAAGACGCGACACTGACGCCGCAGGTACATCGCACGTAGGTATCGCATGCAGGTGTTCCGCGCCTGAAGGCCCCGGGTAGTGGGTAAGACGCATGCAACGTACCGTATCGTTAGGAGCTCGATCACAACAAGTTGAACTGCAATTGCTAGTTGTCCTCATCAATATTACAGATTGATGGGCGATCGGGAAAGATGATCAGAACGCTTAAAGGCTTGCGTTCTGAATGACAAATCTATTCGAAAGAATGATTTGCCACTGACACAGTTAATAAACGGCGATTGACATAGAGCTGTATGATTTAGCACGGACACAAGTGTGGATCGGTGATGTACAAGAAGGAGATAGCGAGAGTAGATTCTCGGTCAATAGTAGACCGACAGTCAATAGAGAGGAATATTGTAGATCCAAAGACTAAGACAACCCTGAACCGACATAAGTCACGTATAGGGTAGCCACAGAAAGACCTTCATACTAGTATGACGGCAAGTTGACCCCTAGGGTCACAACCGCAGGGTAGAAAGAGTTAGTTACCCCAACCATTTTCAACATGTAGCCGAGACGATGAGCCAAGCCTAACAGTTTGGGCTTTGCCGCCGAAATTCTCGAGAAATGTTTAGCGATTTCTCCACATCTCGAGTTTGAGGAGTTGTGCTCGAGCTCAAATGTGTGGAAAATTTAGATGAGTCTTACATTGATCCGAGTTGACCTGTGAGATAGTGCCTATGGCCACCTTGTGGCGGAAGGTACGCAAGTTAAAGAGCCGAGAAGTAGGCCTCTCTAATTCCAAGAGTGTTGCCATAGCTAGGGCGATGCTGCTAAGAGTATAGATGAGCTTCTTTTGAAGTTCCAGAGTATGCTTCCTAAAGTTTTGCCTTGAATTTCCCTGAGGCACGGATTAAATTTTGGCCAACCGCCATGGCGATCTAGTACCAACCAGACCAGCCGATGCCAGGACAACCCTACTGTTGTATCCAGACAGAGGACCCAGTTCTTGAACTTGGGTCAATGGTGTATAACAGCCATGAGGCCGGGTAAATTATGGAGGCTTGAAATAATATTTACTTGTCCGAATTTGCCTGGGGGCTTGAAGCCGGTGTTACCATGGTATAACCAAGATCACTAGTAAGAGAAAGACATAATTTCGAGTTAGAAATCCTAGTCTTGAGTTTTGATTTGTATCTGGACTTGTAGTTTAGAGTTTGACATATACCTTAGTTAGCATTTCCGAGTTCGTGGAAAGTGCTTGGTTTACCAGCAGGTGAAGGCCGAGCACAAGCTTCCACCCGGATTCTTACAACTGCTAGAGGTCCCGTTGTGGAAGTGAGAACATGTTACCATGGATTTCGTTATGGGACTACCCAAGTCGAAGGATGAGCACGATACGATCTGGGTAGTTGTGGACCGGCTGACGAAGTTGGCTCGGTTGTTGCCCTTGAGGATGACGATGACCATGGAGCAGCTTGTTGCTATCTATATTCGTGGGATTGTTCTACTCTACGGAGTAGCCGCCACAATCGTGTCGGATCGAGATCCCCGATTTATCGAATATTTTTGGAAGAGCCTTAATGAGGCCATGGGGACAGATCTGCAGTTCAGTACATGCTTCAAGCTTATGTAATGGACCGTCACTACAAGAATTATGAAAAAATATGACAAAAAAAATTGTCATAAAAATGTGAATTTTTGTCACCGAATAATTTTTATGACGAATTTTTAGTGTCACAGAGTTTGTCACGGTAGCCGCGTCATATTAGGTCTATATGACAATCTTTTCAATTTGTCATATAATGTTTAGTATTTGTGATAAAAATTAGTATTGTCATTGTACCTTTGTGAGATTTGGTGACGATTGATTTGTCACATTTATCATAAAATGTTTGTCACAAAATTATCTAATTGTCACTAAAAGTTACCCTTTATATGACGAACATATATGGTTTCGTCATCTGAAAAATCACATATAATGACAAAATTAATTTTATCGTCATCTTTATTAAAATATAATGACAGTCAGTTTGTCCCAATTTCCATATAAGACTTGTCATCTATAATATAATTTGTCATAAAAGAGTTGTATTATAGTTACAAAAATTTATTTGTCACCAATGAAATATTTATAATGACGAACGAACATGTCACATAAAAGTACATTTTAATGATGAAATATTCTTTGTCACCAATAAAAATATTTATAATGACGAACGAACATGTCACATAAAAGTACGTTTTAATGATGAACCATTCCTTGTCACCAGATGAATATATTAAAGGTGATGATATATCTAGTCATAGAAAATTCGTATTATATGACATGATGTTTATCGTCACCAAATGTGTATAAAAATATGACGATATATTCTATCATGAAAAAGTAAAAGTATATGACGCAAAAGACAATTGTCACTAAATATGTAGGTATAATGACTATAAATTTGTCATAATCAAAGAATATCTATGAAAAATGTACCGTCACTTTAAAGAACTTTAGTGTGACAAACTATTAGTCATAAACAAGCCATTTTATGCCACAAATCATGAATTTATATTTGACCATACGTTGTGTCACGAAAGATTGCTTTTAGTTACCAATTGAAAATTATCACAAAAATTCATAATAATACTATTGCAATTAGCCAATAAATTAGATATTAAATAACAACATATTTAAAGATAATGAGTATCAATAAAAGGAATGACTTGAAGTATTCATGATTGAAAACAAAAACAATAGTACTTGTAATATTAAGTAAAAAGACACTAAATAAATATACAAGAGATAAATCTGCAAATCCATAGGCTTATTTTCTACTCTCGCTGAATTACACATTGTCGGAAATGTCTTGGTAAATCCACTAGCATCCATTCACCTGTAAATTTAAAACATTTAACTTAGCACATATATTTTCATTTATCAAAGCATATTTTCACAAAATAAAAAATGAGACCCATTGTTTATATTAAACTGTTTACCTCAACTATTTCCTTTGGAAGCCATGAATGCCTTAAGCTTTTCAATATCTGCACCTTGTTGGCCCAATAAGTTCTTCATGTCATTAACTTGTTCCATGAGCTCACTCACTCGTGATTCTGATGCTATTAGCTTTTCTTGAGTTTCCTGAAGCTCCTTTTCCTTTTGAAGATATTGGTTGGCGGGAGCATAAATGCGTTTATTTAAGTGGTTCGTCTGATAACCAAGTCCCTTTAGAGAAGTAGATCTTGGACCAAGCACCTCGTGAACTATTTCTTGGTTCGTCTTCTCAGCTCCTTCCGCTGCATATTTTTCTCGCCTCGATACCATCAGCTCCTGATGGATTACAAACATATATCATACCTATCTAAAAAAATAACAATACCAATAGCAATATGAAAATGTGAGTTACCCAATTTTCTTTTGCCTCATCAGTTGACCAATCATGTTTATCAGTGCAATGTGTGAGTTTGTAGAACTCAATTATGTCCCCAGCATCAATTATGTCCCCAGCATCTCCATCAGCATCTCCATTAGCAACTCTATTAACATCCTTCTGAGCCTAGCAAAGAATAAAAATAAAAATAAAATGTACATGATATGGACCTTTTTCTAGAAACATAATTGTAAAATATTTAAAACAGAGTTTGTCCCAGGATATGAACCTACATATACAGGATATGAAAAATAAAATGTACAGGATATGTAAATATTGTAAAACATAATTGGATGTTTACAACTTACAATTTCATGTTGAAGGGTAGAAAAAGGAGTTCTGCCAGATATATGCGGGGTCCTTAACATTTGTCGATTCATAGTGTTAGTTGAACTTTGGTGCTGAAAACAAGAAATTGCAACATAAGAAATATTCCCAAAATATATCAATAAGAGTACCAATCTCAAGAGACGTTACCTTGAACTTAGCTGATGCAAAATAATCACAGAGTTCGTCCCAATTTTCTTTACTAGCACAAAATGTTGGCTTATTACTCTTAGCCTCTTCTGGGGTTGCATACTTCTTCTAATGCTTATGTAACCTGTAACGAATTTGTCGAGAGGTAGATTTCAACCTATCAACCAAGCAGTGCCTCACACCCGGTACATCCAAGTTGACATCCATATGAATCTGAACATCACATTTAACAAATTTTTACATATACAAGAAAAAGAAAACATGTCATTTTTATTCTTATTTTATAGCTACCTTTATATGATCAATGCCTGGTTCCAACATATTTTCTTCAGCCATTTCTTTCCATTTTCTTGGCACTGGAAGGACATCTCGAGCTATTACACCAATTTGACTTGAGAGCTTTGCAGATTGCTCTCGACTTTTGGGTCGTCCTACCAGTGGATCCACATCTATCTTCAATTTCTTTCCAGAGGCATGAAATGCTTTCATAATTCCCTCACCCATTGTTTGACCACGTCTTCTCTTAGGGATGGAAGCTTTGTCTGGTAACAAAGAACATTACATTTCATTAATAGAGGATGCATATACTAATTCGTTGCAACTATTTCATTCAAAGTTTTTAAGATTCTAACTCATCTATAAATCAAAATACAATTGTGCAACATTGACAGACAAATAAGTGGACAAAATGCGACAATCCAAAATAAATTCATGGTTTTTTTCCTAATATGCCTACACAAATATTTTCAAGAAAGCATGAAATTAAATATATTCTCTGTTCATTAACAGCATGCACAAGCACAACTCCAACATGCACAACAAAATAATCCACAAGTCAGCATGCACAATATGCACAAAAATAAAAAGGCAGAATGCACAGCAATAAGACTTAAGAACATTCATGGTTCCAAACATGACGATAGCAATTTGATAGCAATTCTGTTGATATTGTTGAAATCAATATTTGAATCGACGGGAGATAATTTAAGAGGACACCATTTCTTATTTCAGAGAAAATATATGGAGCTTACACTCAACAAAAGAACAAGACGATGAGATATATCTCACGTCCGTACATGCATCCATGTTCCCAAGCAAAAACGACAACGTTTTGATAAGTAAAATAGAATGAGCAAAAAATGGGAAAAAGGAAGCATGTGTTAGTAAGTAACAACAACAAACTCCAACATAAAGAAAATAGCAGAAACAACTACTCCAACAGTAAGTAACTATGAGCAACAACAACTAATTATTCACTGGAGCAAAAGCAACAAAGTCCAACATACCGAAAATAACATAAACAGCAACTATTCATCGAAAACAACAACTATTCCAATAGTTATCCTAAGTAAAAAACATATTGTACCTCCAACTATTCCAACAGCTATCCTACGTAAAAAACATATTGTACCTGTACCTGTGACTGATGTATCCTGAAGGTTACCAGTTGAGCCTTCAGCTGCATTCAAATTCTGATTTGGGTTGGGAGCTTCAAGGGTTTGTGGAATGCCACTTCATTAGTGTGATTTGTTGTAGTATTATCACCTTCCCCGGAAGAACCATGATTAACTTCAGTAGTTCCACTTGCTCCAATCACTCTAGCAGATGACACATTTGATTGGTTAAATGTTCTCCGACTCCAATACGAGCTGACGCAGCAGTTGAGCTATCCTTGGTAGCTTGGTTAAGCATGCTTTGTAGAGCAGCTTTTGAAATAATTTGAGTTTTACGGATTCTTTCGCCATTCTTAGAAATCTACATATGACAACAAAAATTTTATCACTGCAAAACCAATTTTGAAGAACTATGAAATACATAAAAAGAAAGTGCCTATTTATTGAATAAAGAACACATATATAGTTCTCAGAATTCCCTAAGAACAGAATATGAAAAATATTGAGAAAATAACACATGTAAGATTTAATAATAAACAAAACATTACTCCTTCAGTTGCCTTTTAAGTGTATAAAAGATGAAAAAAAATCTGTAAAAACAAAAAATTTATACATCACTAATAAATATAGACTTCATCACCAGGAAAAGATAGAATCAGAAAATGAATCAGAATAAGGGGGGAGCCAAAGATAGAATCAGAATATGAAATAGAATATGAAGCAGAATATGAAACACAAAAGTTTACACCTTCAACTGTTATGATTATACAAACACAGAATCAAAATATGAAAAAGAATATGAAACAGAATATGAAACACAAAAGTTTACACCTTCAGCTATTATAATTATACAAAGATAGAGTCACATATTTTGATTATACAAAGATAGAATCAGAATAAAGGTGATCCAATATAAAAATCTGTAAAAACACAAATTTTATACATAAACGATGAAAAAACTTCACCAGGAAAAGATTGTAGGGAGGCGTGTGTTTGCAACTATTTTTTTGATGTATTGCTAAGTAAAACCTATTTGGGTATATATATTTGAGCAGAATAAAAAAGGGAGAGATTGACGGAGGCACGAAATCATTAAACCCTTTGTTTCTATACCCTGATTAGATAAATAAATTCCTAATTAAGCTGAATTTTGAGCGCCAAAAATTTTTGTCCCGTTAATTGTTTTGGTAGATAAAAATTATAATTTTCTTTTAATTTTTTAATTTCTATTGTATACAACAGGTACCTGTGGTGCCTGATCACCATGGGCGTGATGAGGTCTCTGGTGAGGCTCTGCACCACCGTGACCGACAACCGAACCTCCATCGAGAAGTGGTTGTCCCTCGGCCACACCACCTGCTCCGCCAGGCTGCAGACTCGGCCGTCCGGTCACACCACCCCCAACCTCATCCTCCACCGACTTCAAAAACAACCTCGCACCGTCGCTTCCATAAGCGCCAAAGAACTGTTGCAAAAACCTTGCTCCATTCACAGCCCATGATCATAGGTAAATCATGGTTCCATAGGAAATTATCAAACCACGGAACTGGATCCATATCAAATAACTCAACCCACCCCTTGAAAAAGGAATAGATGCACAATCAATGCTTTCATAAAAATAGTTTCTTGCTGCTTGGGATTTTGTGTTGCAATTAAAAATGGACTGGCTTTGGGTAGTGGAGCGTAGATGCAAGACTCGTCGACCTCCAGATAGCACACGATCTCCGCCTACATCCTTGTCCTCGCCGACGATTTCGAGCACCAATTGGGAAATCAGATTGGGAAATGAGATCGAATTCTACATTGAATTTCTATTCCCTCATGAAATTGATTCAGTTTTTAGGTTGCAATTAGGAGATGAGATCGAACCAGTGGCTTTGGTCTGCAAGTTAGGTTGAAATTGGAGAAAGACAATTGGTATGTGGTAGAGACATTGCCCGACATTTTTTGCTGAGTGATGAGAATGAGAAGGATTTTCATACACTTAAAAACTTAATTGGTATAATTTGGATTCATAATGGCATTTTAGAAATTTTAGGCTATTAATAAGTTTAATAATATTGCAAAAAAAAAATAAAAAATAAGTTTAATAAGGCATATGACATAATATTTTATATAATAATTTGTTAATTAAATATTTTATATAATGTAAAAATATATTAGTTCTGTAAACCTTGAAAAAATAGAAATCTTATCTCAGAACAGTCATAGACATCAAATGTGCAACATATTCGATCTCCACAATTTAATCTTGAAACTCAAAATAAAAATTATCTTATCTTGTCTAGGCTAACAAACGACCCATCACTTGATTATTATTACCAATATATTGTATTAGATCTCCACATTTTAATTTTTCATTTTTCTAGCTAGCAAATGTCAATTAACGTGTTTTACAAACACACACAAACACAGACACACACACACACACACACACACATATATATTGACTAATATCAAACTTTGTCTAATCCAATCGCTTCAGATTATCTTAAGCCATGTTTTAAATATCGTAATGGCCGGTATTTAGAACACTGATCTTAAGTTCTCTTTAGTTGAGATTCAAACTTTGTTAGCTCGACTAAGAGCCGAAAAATATTCGTTAACCATTTAACTTTCTTTGATTCGAAACGAAATATAAATGATTTGGTATGATTCTTGAGATTTAACAAACATACGTACCGAGAACCAAATTCGTTCAATCAGTCCCACATCATAACGGGCTGAATTAAGAAACAAATTATCATTATATTAGATGTGTCTTGTTCATAGATCTTATATATGTCACCTTTAATCATATAATTTGAGTATTTTTAAATTACGTAATAACATATATAGTAATAATTAAACTTCAATTAATTTTCATGTTTAATAATACTTGATTTTTAACTAATTGAAAAGTGTATTTTTATTATATACTAGTTTTACCCCGTGCATTTGCACGAAAATCGATATAACAGAAGAGAAAGTAATTAAAAATATAAAATAAAATAAAAATCATAACTTTGGAAATGAGAAAAAATAATTTAAAAAGGTGACTCTAAATATTATTAAACACTCCTTTATATATAACATTTATGGTTTTGCTATCGTCAGAATCCCCATCACAACAAATCATTATCGTTAAATTTTTTCGACTCGTGACTCCGGGATTTGATTTTTCAAAATATTTGATGCATCTTTGTAATATCCGAAAAAATATTTTTTATTATTGTATGACTGCAATAGAAAATAGAGATATTTATAGTTATTTTTAATTAGTTGTGAAATATGTATTTATATAATACCAAAAAATATATAGTATTAAAAAATAAAAATAATATTTTGTATTTCAGGACATAAAAGGACGTTACATAAATGGGATCTGTCAAAATAAATTGTGTAACTGAAAGTTACATATTTTTATTAATTGAACACCTATTTTTATTAAATGAACCTATATTATTATTAATTGCTGGCTGAATAAAATTTATTGAAGCTTTCCAGCAATTATATATATATAGATGTTGATCTTAGTCTTATTCTATTCTATAATTAGAATGACATAAAAGGTTATATTAATACTTTAAAAACAAAAATATTATACTATATTATATTTGAATATCGATCTTCATCAATTTAACAAATATAACAGAAATTAATGCATGCATTTGATGCTTTGGTCAATGCTCGAAGTTTTATTTAAAATGCTTAAAATCTTACGAGATGTAGTATGAATNGAAATCGAAAATCAAAGCGAACCGGCGAAAAAATAAATCTAGACATATCGACTACTTTTAGTTACAAATAATAATAATACTACCATATTTACTATATCATATGTATAATTTATTCAATTAATAATATTTTTGTATGTAATATATTCATATGTAAAAAATGTAATAATATTTTTATGTTTATAAAAAAATTTAAAAAGTGAATTTCCAATCGAATCGTTTATATACCGTTGTCTTAAGCGAATTGAATAAGAATCATGCATTAATTTTATTGTAAATCGAATACGAATAAGAATAACATATATAAAATTATGTTATTTTTATTCTGTTGTAAATCGAATACGATTCGCTTTGATTTTAAACTTATGTTATTCTTATTCGTATTCGATTTACAATAAAATTAATGCATGATTCATATTCAATTCGCTTAAGACAAGGGTATATAAACGATTCGATTGGAAATTCACTTTTTAAATTTTTTTATAAACATAAAAATATTATTACATTTTTTACATATGAATATATTACATACAAAAATATTATTAATTGAATAAATTATACATATGATATAGTAAATATGGTAGTATTATTATTATTGTAACTAACAAACATTTTAAGGAAAGGCAAAACAGGAAGGCACAGAATTAACCCTGCAGCCCCGCTCGTCTCCAGTGTTCTCCAAATTTCATCTTATCTTCTTAGTTCATCTGAAATTTAATCGCCTCAGGCCCAAATCGTTTCCTAATCCTTAATCGCCCCAGACCCCCAAATATTCTCCAACCCCAGGTCCCAGTCGTCTCCTCCGCTGATCTCAGCTCTCACTCGTCAAGAAGCCTCTGCTTGAGAGGGTTATCAGTCAAGGGAGTCCCAATTTTTCGTCTCCCTCCCAAATTCTCAATTCCATCTCAAGTCTCTACAAGGTACATTTTTTTTTTTTTTTTTTTTTTTTTTTTTTTTTTTTTTTTTTTTGTTTAATCTGGGAGAAAACATTATGATTTATTTTTTTATATGATTTGTTTTAGGTTGAGCAAGAAATGGACAAAAGTTGGATGCGAGAAGCTAAATGGTCTGAAGTTTACTTGGATGGAGTAAACACATTTATGAAGTTTGTTGAATCTCATATGGGAAATGAATGTGATATTCGATGCCCCTGTACAGATTGCCTGAATTTATCAATGAAAGATCAAAAAACAGTGAAAAGTCATATCATGATGCGTGGGATGGATCCGGGGTACATCACATGGTTTTATCATGGTGAACTACGTTCGAATAATCTAGGAATTTCATATACTAGTGCTAATTATGGAATCAACAGAGAGTCATCAGATCACAATGATGAAGATGAAGTTGAAGATGAAGACGAAGGTATTAGTGACATGCTATTTGAATTTGCAGAGAAATATCAAACCAGTACGAATTCCAAAAATAATAACAGTAGTACGGATGGTGTTCCAGCATATCTCGAGTCATTGATGATGGATGCGAAGACGGTGTTGTATCCAGGATGTAAAAAGATTTCAAGGACTTCATTTATCATCCAATTACTCCACTTGAAAGTGTATAATAGACTAAGTAATAAAACAATAAATATGATTTTGAAGTTAATGAAGTTATCTTTTCCTGATGGCGAGACACTTCCAAATTCTTGTTATGAAGCCAAAAGATTTTTGCGAGATATGGGATTAGGATATAAATGCATCCATGCTTGTAAATACGATTGTGCCTTATTTTGGAAGGAGAACGAGAAATTGGAGATTTGCCCTATTTGCAAAACTTCTCCGTGGAAAGTCAATGATGGTGTAGGCAAAAAGATACCACAAAAGATCTTAAGGTACTTCCCATTTACACCCAGACTTCAACGACTTTTCATATCTCATAAAACGTCTAATAAGATGGTCTGGCATAAGGAAAAACGCATTAATGATGATTACATGAGGCATCCGGCAGATTCTATGGCATGGAAGGACTTTGATAGAGAGTTTCTTATGTTTACAAATGATCCCAGAAATATCAGACTAGCTTTAGCTGCAGATGGTTTTAATCCATTTAGAAACTTGAGCTCCACTTATAGCATGTGGCCAGTGATTCTCGCCCCATTGAATCTCCCCCCTTGGGATTGTATGAAGCAACCATATTTTATGTTGTCGTTGCTTATTCCAGGGAAGAACACACCAGGAAAAGATATTGATGTCTACCTACAGCCATTAATTGAAGAGTTGAAAGAATTGTGGGTTAATGGAGTAGAAACATATGACGTCTCCCGTAAAGAAAATTTCCAATTGCATGCTGCTGTTTTGTGGACGATAAATGACTTTCCAGCATATGGCGATCTATCTGGGTGGAGTACTAAAGGGTATATGGCTTGTCCAGTTTGTAATGAGAACACTTATTCTTCGAGATTGAGAAATAAGATATGTTACATGGGGCACCGACGTTATTTACCGAAAGATCATGCTTGGAGAAGAAGTAGGAGATTCAATGGGAAGAGAGAAGATAGCGAAGCACCTAGAGATTTAATAGGAGAGGACATATTAATGCAATTGGAGAGAATACCAAAAACGAATCCAGGAAAGCATAGCAGCAAAAAGAGGAAAAGAAAGCTGGAGAAATTGAACTGGACAAAGCGCAGCATTTTTCGATTTGCCTTATTGGAGTAAGTTGAAGTTAAGACATAACTTAGATGTAATGCATATTGAGAAGAATATATGTGAGAGTATATTAGGAACCTTGATGAATTTAGATTCAAAAACGAAAGACACCGTCAAGGCAAGACAAGACTTGGAAGATATGAAAATTCGAAAGGAGCTGCACTTAACCAAGAGAAGTGCATGTTGCATGTTATGTTATGAATAAAAAAGAAAAACAGGAGTTTTATGAGTTTCTAAAGTCCGTAAAATTTCCAGATGGGTATGCATCAAATATCTCTCGTTGTGTGAGTTCGCGTGATCAAAAGATATCTGGATTGAAAAGCCATGATTGTCATGTACTCTTACAACGAATAATTCCCACTGGAATTCGGGATCATTAAATAAGGAAGTGTGTGACGTATTAGCAGAGTTGGGTCATTTCTTTCAACGTTTGTGATGCCAGAAGTTGAGAAAAACTGAACTAGAGCAAATGAAAGAAGATATAGTCATTATATTGTGTAAACTTGAAAAGATATACCCTCCTGCTTTCTTTGACGTCATGGTTCATCTGTCTATTCATTTACCCAATGAGGCATTGCTCAGTGGCCCCGTTCAGTTTAGATGGATGTATCCCATTGAAAGGTAATAAGTTAAACTATGGTATCTCTTATCTTTATAAATTTGGATAATGTTTTGATTGATTGTAATGTAAAATACATTTTATTAAATTTTACAGGTTTTTAGGTGATTTGAAGCAAACCGTGCACAATAAAGCTCATCCAGAAGGTTCAGTTGCAGAAGCATACATAGCAAAAGAGTGCTTGACTTTTTGCTCTATTTATTTGCGTGGAATTGAAACTAGATTTGATAGAGATGAGAGAAATGTTGATGTCATGCTTGATGATAGCCTATCGATTTTCTCACAAAAATGTCGGCATTTTGGAGCAGCAAGCTTTGTGGAATTGTCCGAAGAGGAGTTTAATATGACTCAATGGTTTGTCTTCCAAAATTGTGAAGAGGTTGAACCATATCTTGAGTAAGTCCGTGATTATATCTTACGCACAAAAGACAACATATAACATATAAGTATTTATAATTTTCTAACACATATATATTGTTACTTGTTGTAGGAAGCACAGAAAGGAACTTCTATTGGGTGGTTGTGAAAATATAGATAAAAGCCACAAAGATCCATTTCCTGCATGGTTAAAAAACATGTAAAGTTATCTTGTTAATTATATATCTCTATTTTTTTAGTTAACTCCATTATATTTTTAAGAATTTTATTTGTATTTTTCAGATGACCTTGTTATATCATGAAGAACCATCTAAATCACATGAGTCTTTGTATGCTCTGGCCTGTGCACCTAAAAAATGTGTGAGAAAATATTCCGGCTGCATTGTAAATGGAGTAAGGTTTCTAACTAAGGAACGTGATAATAGGCGTAAAACTCAGAATAGTGGGGTTGTAGTAGAAGGTAACCATGGAGAAGATTTCATTGATTTTTATGGGGTCATGAGCGAGATAATTCAACTTGATTATGTGAAAGATAGGCATGTTACCATTTTCAAATGTGATTGGTTTGATCTTGGGAGCAAAAAAAGACCAGGAATACAGAAGGACGGAAATAGTGTGAACGTTAGAGTTAGTAGAAAGTGGTATGAGAATGATTCTTGCATACTAGCAAATCAAGCAAGACAAGTTTTTTACATCAAAGACCCTAAATTAGGAAATGATTGGCAAGTAGTACAACCATTCCAACATAGGCATGTTTATGATGTTGATGAAATGCAAGATGAAGAAATGGATGTTGATGATATCTTGGCTGTGGAAGATGAAGTATATCAGACGAATGATGCAAATGATGTGCTTACCATTAGTCTTGATGAAATAGAGTTGCTGAATAGAAAGGACATAGATCCCAAAGATATTGCCGATACAATAATAGAAAGCTCACATGAAGTTAGTGAGGTTGTACGCCTAGATGACATCGAGAACGAAGATGAGTTGGATGACACTTTGGTTGACTATTGTAGCAGTGAAGAAGATTCTCAAAAGAACCACAATTCTAATAATGGGAGTGACGATGATGATTGGGGCCTTGACATTTGATTATCTGTAAATCTCATTTTATTTTGGTATGTGAAAATATACTTGATTTCTAATGTATTCTTGCTTTAGTTGATTTTTTTTCCTATTCTCCTTATTTATAATAAATATTATCTCGTAGGCGATCGATGGTGGGAGGTGGTGGGACTGCTGTTAGGGGATATGGCAGATCCACAGCTGCCGGTGGAGTTCTCACCCTCGCCTGACGGAGAGTTCCCCTAAAATTCGCACAAGAAGGTCTAGTGAGTTCCGGAATCCTTGTGATAATTTTGACTTTTTTTTTTCATTTTTCTTAGGTTTTTGGTGAAGGGATTTAGAGCTGTTTGTTCGTTGACGGTTGTTTTTTGTATTTGTTAATGGTTTGTCTACATTGAATGAAGAAGTTATTGAATTTAGAATTTATGAATCCAATGGGTTTCATGATTTATAGTTTCATTGTTCTTGTTTGAATCTAACGGGTTTTAGCTTTGATGGTTTTATGGTTTTCGTTTTTTTCATTAAACAAATATCTGAAGAAGCACAACTTCACAAAGTTAGTTTTAGTTGACTCTAGCTAAGTTAGGGGAAAGTCTTGCTTTTGCTGGGTGCTGTTGGCTTGTTCTTCCTCTTTTTGGTTATATCTTGTTGTTTCTTTTTGGTCCTATTTTGTTTCTTTTTGCTCTTTTTGGTTCTATCTTGATGTTTCTTTTTTGTCCTATTTTATTTTTTTTCTCTTATCTATAGTTTTGTTTGTTTTTTGGCTTTTGCCTTTTTGTTTTGGCTAGTTCTGTAGGGCCGCTATTTTGGTGCTTGGCGGTGTTTTTGTTTTTCTTTAAATTTCTTGCTTAGTGTTTGGTTAGTTTCTTATGGGACAACGCCTTTTCTGGTTTACCCATCTCCTGATTCCTGCTAGGTTGGTAGTACGGAGTTTGGATTGCATTCAGTTGTATGCCGTTGTACGCTTTCGAGTTTCGTTTAAGTGAATCATTTATCCGTTTCGAAAAAAATAAAAAAAGGTAAGCAGCAGTGCCGGGGAAAAAAGGAAAGAAAAAAAAATTATATCCAATGTGGATGAACAATGTCAATGTCTGTGAGAATGTTTTTTGCTCCTGTAATAATTGTCTAGACCTGTTTCTGTTTTGGAGGATCCTGAATATGAAGGACAATATTTCAATTGCAGCTGAAAATTGAATTCAGATATATAGGACAATATTTCAATGTCTGTGAGAATGTATTTGCTCCTGTAATAATTCTCTAGACCTGTTTCTGTTTTGGAGCATCCTGAAAATGAAGGACAATATTCCAATTGCACCCAATATGATAAAGCCAAGGCAGATATATAGGAAAAACATCTGACAAGGAGATATGCAAAGCCCAGGTTTGGAAACAGCTGAAAATTGAATTCAGGCTTCGAATCACATACTCCATTCACTACAACACCAGCACAAAGTACAGAGTCCCAACTCAAACCTGTTAAATCATCTTCATATTAACTTTATTTAGCATTCTTGAACAAAAATGAAGCGCAACTTTCAGTCAAAACCAGACAAATAACACAAATCAAAGCACTCAACCATTTTACACAAGCACCTTGTAAGCAAAATCCAATATGCCATATTCCTTGTACAACCAAAAAGACCAAATGACATAGTACATAATGCATATACATAGTAGAACCGCAATTACAATGCTCAACTAATCATTGTTACCTCAATATGAACTTATACTAATACTTACACTTAAGTCCCTCCACAAGCCTCAACCTATCATATCTCATCCTAACCAGCCACTCTCAACCTATCATTCCTCATCCTAACCAAATCCCATATCCAGGAAAGCAGATACATTATGAGGTGGAAATTCTCCTTGCTCCTCCTGAGGCTGAACATGTTGTATTCCACGTTGAACATGTACTCGACTCTCTCCATTATAAGTCAATCTTAAGGGTCGAGAGCCGGATGGGCACTTTACCGATCCTCTGATCCCACGACTTGCCATTTCTGCTAACGTGGCAGTTCTCGATAAGATAATCGGGCAAACACCAGTCAAATCTCCTCTTCATCAGGACAGCGAGCTCGGGCAGCATCCAAATGGCTCGAATGAATCTTTCATCGACTAAGAGTCTTTAGAAGGCAGTTCACTAAGAAGCCCCAATGTTGCCGATGTCGTAGATCACCATCTCCATCTGCGGCTTGGAGGAACTTGGCCAGCATCTCGTGGCTCTGCATCTGGTTCAGGAAAGAATTGCAGAAATCTGAGCCGGTGAGCTTCTGGGCATGATGATGTCTCTACCGAGCCTCTGCACCGGCGTGACCGACCACCGGACCTCCATCGAAAAGTGGTTGTCCCTCGACCACACCACCTACTCCCCCACGCTACAGAGTTGGCCGTCCGCTCACACCACCCACAACCTCACCCTCCACCGACTAGTCGACCTCCAGATAACGCACGATCTCCGACTCCGTCCTCGTCCTCGCCGACATTTTCGAGCACCAAGTGGCATACGTCATCAATGGCGTAAGATTTAATTCCTATTCCCTCGTGAAATTGATTCAGTTTTTAGGTTGAAATTGAGAGATTAGATCGACACAGTGTTTTGGGTCTGGGATTTAGGTTGAAAAGATGAACTGATTTTGTGGTTACTTCCGTGATTTCTTCGAAATTGACATAAGAAAAGATGAAGAAGAAGTGACTTTTTACGGGAAAAAGGAGACTCAAGACATTGATTTTTAGGGAACTGATAGTGACGAGATGAATTTTGATACACTTAATAATTTCTATATTTTGGATTCTTAATGGCACTTTAGAAATTTTAGGTTATTACTTAATAAGATAATAAGGCATATGACATGCTATTTTATATAATAAATGTCATTATTTTATATAATAAATATATACAAAAATTTGTTAATTAAATATTATGTTAACTTAAATCATTCAAATACTTAAGCTAATTAATAATAATTTATACATATTTATTATAGTTAAAAATGTGTTTTTTTTATGTATATAAATAATATAATTAAATATATTAAATTTAATTTAAAAAACATAGGATCGGTTCGTACCTGTTCGATCAGTTGATATTAACTGAATTTGATCAGTTCAACCGATCGTTGATCGATTTTTAATTCGTTTGCTAGCAACTGATTCATTCTAAAAAATCGAACCGATCATGTGACCGGTTCCCGGTCTAACTCGACCCAAACCGATGACTCGGAACCTCATATGTATGTCACCACGGAAAACCCAGGAGATCGAAGCCCACCACCCTACCCACCACCTCTGTCGACTTCAGCAGCACGACCACTCACTAGAGAGAGAATAGGGAGCCAAGCCCCTGACTTCAGACCGACAGCTCACTCGCCTACTCGAACTCGTCAGAAGAGCAACTTGAACGAACATATTATGTGGTTTTAAGGACGAAAGTAGAGGTGTCATGTATAGAATATTCTTTGGTGCAAAAATAAAATTCATCATTTTTTCGTAACAAATTTTATGACGAAAAATCATTCGTCGTAAGAAAAGCGTCATAAATGATTTGAATTCAGTGACGAAATTAAGTAATGTCATAAAATAATAGTCTTTGGTGGCGAAATTTAAATTTGTCATTGTTACTAACACAATTGTGACAATATAATTTGTCACAAATAGAATCGTCATAAATTATTTGAAGTCAATGACGAAATTAAATAATGTCATAAAATAATAATCTTTGGTGGCGAAATTTAAATTTGTCATTGTTACCAACACAATTGTGACAAAATATAATTTGTCACAAATAGAATCGTCATAAATTATTTGAAGTCAGTGACGAAATTAAATAATGTCATAAAATAATAATCTTTGGTGGCGAAATTTACATTTGTCATTGTTACTAACACAATTGTGACAAAATATAATTTGTCACGCATAGAATCGTCATAAAATATATAATATACTGACGAAAATAAGTGGTGTCATAAAAAAGATATTCATTTGCGACAGACAATATATTTTGTCATATTAGCTTACAAATTGTGATTAAATATTATCCGTCATAATAAAATCCGTCACTAAAAATGTGATTTAATGATGAAAATAAACAACGTCATAAAATTCTATTTAACGGTGATGAAAATATACTTTGTCATTGTTGCCTGACAAACTATGACGAGAAGTCATCCGTCACAGACAATATTTTTATACAAATGTGACAAATTTACATGTTTAGGTTACAAAGTGAGATGTATTGTCATGAAAAGTACGTTTATGTGACGAAAAATTAATTCTAAGATGACGCATGTAGCAACCGTCGTCGTATGCAATGATTTAATGACGATTTTTAAAATTCTTCACCATAAGGCTACATACGGTGACAATTCTTTTTTCGTCACAGGAAATTTGTCACTTTTTGATAGATTTCTTGTAGTGGTGGTAGCACATGGGAGGAGTTGTTACCACTGATCGAGGTCGCCTACAACAACAGCTACAATGCGTCGATCAAGATGACGCCGTATGAGGCTTTGTACGGGCGCAGGTGTCGATCTCCCCTTTATTGGGATGGGTTGGGGAATGAAAGGTTCTCGGTTCGAAGCTGATCAAGCACACGGTGGAAATGGTCGCCTTAATCCGAGAGCGGATGAAGGTGGCCTAGGATCGACAGATGTTCCACGCTAACAAGTGTAGACGAGATCTACAGTTCAAGAAAGGAGATAAGACCTTCCTAAAGGTCACGCCATTGAGAGGCGTGGTTGGCTTCGGGAAGAGGGGGAAGCTGCAGCCCCAATTCCTAGGCCCATTCGAGATCCTCGAGCGAGTGGGTGAGGTAGCATACCGTTTGGCGTTGCCTCCATAGCTTTCGGGTGTGCACAACGTCTTTCATATGTCGATGCTGACGAATTATGTGCATGACCCCGAGCACGTGTTGAGCTATAGCGAGCTCGAACTCGGGCCGAGTCTGACTTACGAGGAGCAGCCGATAGCGATTCTGGACCGAAAGGTTCAACGAATGAGGAGCAGAGACGTATCACTAGTTCGAGTTCGCTGGAGTCTCCACGGCGAGGCCGAGGCCACTTGGGAGCGAGAGGAGGAGATCCGAGCTCGTTACCCAGAGTTTCAGTTCTGATTAATATCTTTGTATTTTTTGATTCTAAGTTTATAGTCGAGTTGGATTTAAGTATAGTTTTGGCATTTCCGAAGATGGAAATATTTTAAAGAGGATAGATTGTAATGCCTCAAATAATTATTACTATTTATGGAGCTTGTAAATATGTATAGTCTCTAAGGCCTGAAAAAGCTACAGAGGATATAGCTTGGAGGGATTGGACAAAATTTGCTAGTCTATACTAGTTCTAGTTGTTGTTTTCTTTCTTTATTTCCTTTCCGTTGTTCTTTCCTTGTCTTAGGTTTTTTTTTTAACAAACTAGGCCCCTTAGGTGCAGTTGTTTGTTAATTTTGAGTAGTTTGTTCTTTTACTTTGTAGCAGGTTCCTTTGTGCATTGAGGTTTGGATCTTATCACCGGTTTTCAGAGCCCCTGCATCTGTCGGGGATAGATCTAAATTCTTTCTGGTATATAGGAAGTGGTTCTTCCTCTGTATTTTTCTTATATGAGCTAGTTGGCCTCCCGGACGCTGTATTGTAGGTTTAAGTTCTTTAATCCTGTCATTTTGTGAGAAAAAAAAAAGATACGGTTGGCATCTAAAAGTACCCCAACTGCATATTTCCACCTAAAAACAACATCAAAGGGCTCGTTTACTTATTAGGATTGGATGTAACACCGGCCTTAACCAACCTTATCCTGCGTTTACTATACATGATTGGAACTAGGATTTAGCCTATGTGGCATGTATGTGGCAAGTGGGTCCCACGCGAAGATGCATATGTGGCTGAATAATTCAATTCCATCAAATTGGTGGGGTATTTTTCTTCCATTTTTTCCCAAAAAAATAATATTATTTAATTTAAATAATTTTATTTAAGTTAAAATAATATAATTTATTTTAAAAATATTAATTTAATAAATATTATTGTTGACACCCGAGTTCGCCCCCAAACCGGAGACCCGGTCCAGCGCGTAGGTGCCGAGCTGGACTCCGAAACCTTTTGACCTTGACACCCCCGCGGATCCGTCCGTTAGCCCGGCGTTTGCGACAGTTAAGTTCCGGTGCCGGCCTGGATAGGAGACGATCTGGAGGGAGGCTCCCCGGGACTGGAGGAGCAAAAAGGAAAAAGGTGCCGACCTGGAGTCTCAGAACGGACCTCCAGTGAGGAATGCTGATCTCGATAACAGTATAATAATGCCACTTGGAGAGTAATCATTGGTGATTGGACGGGATATCCTAGCCTGCTGACCTACATCCTCTAGCCAAGACATAAAGCCTGCCAGCATCAAATGACCCCCATGTGTGCATTGAATGCCCGTCAGATAATGATGAGGAAAACCTCAAATCGCATTGAATTCTGTCAGGGAGGCGCCGGACTGCTCTGCAAGAATACTGTACGACAAGACCGGTGAACAGTACCTGAATAGTGCCACATTTAAGGCCACTATAAATAGCTGTCCACTTCATTTAATTTGGGTTGTTGAATCCCAATTGTCAAAACTCTCTCTACATTTTCTCTCTCTAGACTTGTAAGGAATTCGTGTAAGAATCTGCAAGTATATCGCAAGTGCCGACCTTGTACGAGAGGCCGACCTCGTGATCTTTTAATAAAATCATAATTAAACCGTATTTCTTCGTCTTTTCCCCATTACCTTTTCATTACTCAACTTTTTAACCGTTGATCGGAAACGCCCGTCAACAGTTTGGCGCTAGAAGGAGGGCCCATAAGTTACTTGGTGTCAATTTTTCGATCTTGTGAAGCTCCACTTCGCACTCATCTTTTCCCACTTTTTCCACTTCCAAAAACTACTCAAAATGCCTTCATCCGACCATGATGACTCCACCCAGCAGTCCGGCTCCCAGCCCCGTGGACACAACGGCAGGGAGACCTCCCGTCGTGCTCAGCAGGGACCCATAGTCCCTATTCCACCAGTTCCTACCTTTGATGCGGCCTTGCAGCACCCCGATGTCCTCAAAGCCCTCGGGGGGTCTTCGCCAAGGCCCTCACCAGCCAGACAGTCGGGGCAAACACCG